AACCTCGGCACCAGGCCCGTCACGCACCCCATTTTTCCACACGTTACCGTTACCACTGTAGCTTCGCTATATATTCTTAGCTCAATCCTTCGCTCATTGTATTCTTGTCTCGATAGTGCAATCCTCGCTCGCTCACTCAATTGCGCTTGTAACAGACTCCCAGCCCAAGAGCCGAGGTACAGTGATGTGGAACAGTGCCACACTGTCCCCAACCATGAAGGGTCTTGAAACTACCCTCCACAAGGGCCTTCACCAAGAGAAATGTTACACTACACTTTCCAATGTAACTATTCTCACTATCTTGAAGTTTACCCTTATGGAGAGCTTCGAAATCACTTGAATCTTGAAACCATGGCTCTGGTTCTTCAAGATAAATTCTTCCTTGAGTTCTTGGAAGTCTGCTTCGCACACCTGCAACACGATGAACGTTCCAAACACGACAAAATAGAAAACTGCACACGACACGCAAACGACGACGTGACACGCGACTAGCGATAACTCGCTATTGACTGGACACACACATTCAAAAGCATGCCTCATCATTCACAAACCATTGTAAGCATGAAATATATATTCTCTCATGCCCTCATACCATTCCATGCACACACGCATGCATGTCAAACTTATATACGCTATAGTCTGTTTAGGCTGTAGTGGGGTAGTTCTTATAGGGTACAACACTTTTAGGTTTCCTCCTTGTACCCACCTGCTTTCTAGTTCAGTCATTCATTCGCTCACATTCTAACATGGTATTCTGAGCAGGTTCCCTATTGGGAACGTTTTTTTAAGGGCCCACCACAACCTTTTTTTTTTCCTGCTCTGCCCGAAGCGCGCATCGCGCCCTGCCCGTCGTGGCCCCTTTGTCGCCCGTCACGGCCCCTGTTGGACGCGACCCGTACTGCCTGTCGCGGCCCCTACTGCCGTCGCGACCCCACCTGCCGTCGCGGCCCCTACTGCCGACGCGGCCCCTATTGCTGTCGCGGCCCCTGCTGGCGCGGCCCCCTGCTGGCGCGGCCCCTGCTGACGCGGCCCCTACTGATGCGGCCCCTGCTGACGCGGCCCCTGCTGACGCGGCCCCCTGCTGACGCGGCCCCTGCTGGCGCGGCCCCTGCTGACGCGGCCCCCTGCTGACGCGGCCCCCCCTGCTGACGCGGCCCCCTTCTCGCGCGGCCCCTGCTGACGCGGCCCCCTGCTGGCACGGCCCCTGCTGGCGCGGCCCCTGCTGACGCGGCCCCACTGCTGACGCGGCCCCCTGCTGTCGCGGCCCCTGCTGTCGCGGCCCCCTGCCGTCGCCACCCCTACTGGCGCGGCCCCTGCTGTCACGGCCCGGCCCTGCTGACCCGGCCCCTGCTGACGCGGCCCCCTGCTGGCGCGGCCCCTGCTGTCGCGGCCCCCCCCTGCTGTCGCGCCCCCCCCCTGCTGACGCAGCCCCTGCTGTCGCGCCCCCAGCTATCGCCGCCCCTGCTGTCACGGCCCGGCCCTGCACCCGCCCCTGATAAGCACCCGCGCCGCCCTGCTGCGCCACGCCGCCAATTGCCGAGCCGCGCCGCCCAGCCGAGCCGCGCCGCCCAGCCGAGCCGCGCCGCCCACTGAGCCGCGCCGCTCTCCTAAGCCGCGCCGCCCTACTGAGCTGCACTGCCCTGCACTGCCCTACTACCTCTCCTGCTACTGCTTGCTACTGCTGCTATTGCTGCTACTGCTGCTACTGCTGCTACTGCTCCTACTGCTGCTATGGCTAGCCCTACTGTTCTCACCTTTGATGCTGAGGGGCGTGCAGTTGACTTTGACGTGTGGGTTGACGACCTGCAGCTCTTTCTTCAGTGTGACTCTAGGGATGGGGTATCCCTTTTCGATCTCACGTCCGGTGTCTCTACTACTCCTGCTACCACTGCTGGCAGTACGGTTCGCTCGCAGTGGACCACTCGTGACGCTGTTGCTCGTCTTGCTGTTCGTAGTCACCTGCCGCCTGCTGAGCGCGCGCATTTTGGCCAGTACAAGACTGCTCAGTCTTTGTACGACGCTGTAGTTGCGCGCTACTCCTCCTCTGCCACTGCTGCCCTCAGCCGCCTCATGCTGCCGTACCTTTTCCCTGACCTTGCCGCCTTTGCCACAGTCGCTGACCTCGTTGCTCACCTCCGCACTAGTGACGCCCGCTACCGCGCTGCCCTTCCCACTGAGTTCTGTGCCAAGAACCCCCCCCCCATGTACATCACCCTTTACTACCTAGTCACCCGCCTCCCTGACTCCTTTTCTTCAGTCAGGGACCACTTTCTATCCCTTTGCCCCACCGAGCTGACTGTCGACCTGCTAGAGGAGCGCCTTGCTGCAGCTGAGAAGAGTATCTTAGCTGTAGGTGCTTCTCACGGCGACCGTCGCACCGCTTTCTTTGAGGGGTGTCCCCCTGTCTCCCTTCTCCCCTCTGTTGCTTCTGCTGCTGCTGTCGACCTTGTTGGTACTGAGGAGGTCGGAGCTGCGTCTGCCCCTAGTGGGAGGCGCCGCAACAGCAAGGGCAAGGGGAGCAAGGGTGGTGGAGGGGACGGCGGGGGCGGCGGCGGAGGCGGTGGAGGAGGCGGGAGGGGTGGCGGTGGAGGAGGGGGTGGTGCCGGGAGTGGGGGCTACAGTGGCGGCGGTGGGGGTGGTGGAGGCAGCGGCAGCGGTGGTGGAGGCAGCGGCAGCGGTGGTGGAGGCAGCGGCAGCGGTGGTGGCGGTGGCGGCGGCGGTGGTGCTGGTCGAGGTGCAGCCGCGCAGCGTGGAGGCTTTGGTGGTAGCCAGCGCCAGCAGCAGCCGCGTTCCCGTGAGACCCCGTCGGCCCAGCAGCTTCGTGAGTGGTACGCTGGGCGTGGGAGGTCTGGGGGTGCTGGTCCCTGCACTTACGTTCTTTGCACTGGCAGTCGTCATGGGAAGGCGTGTGGGCTGCCACACACTACGCAGCGCTGCTTCGGTCGATTGACTGACGCCTGGCGTGCCCGGTTTCCTGACGCTGTTGAGCTCCCTCGCTGGCATGATCTGCTAATGCAGAATGTGCCTATCTTTGATCTTGATTTCGATGCTATCCTTGCTGCCATGTATGCTTTGACTGATAGTGCTGAGGGTGACTGTTACCTGAGTGTCCCGCCCAATGCAGCTGCTGCTCTAGGTGCTAGTGCGTCTGCTGCTCCAGGTACTGGTGAGTCTGCTGCTCCAGGTACTGGTGAGTCTGCTCTCTCTGGTACTGCACATACTGAGGCCTTGCACACTTTCACACTTGACTCTGGTGCTTCGCGCTCTTTCTTTAGAGACAGCACCACACTCACGCCGCTCAGTCGGCCTGTCGCAGTCTCCCTTGCTGACCCCTCTGGGGGCCCAGTCCTTGCGCACTCTTCCACGGTTCTACCGTGTCCTGCAGCCCCGTCGGGCTTGCTGTCGGGACTCCACCTCCCCTCATTCTCTACGAACCTGGTGAGTGGAGCTGACCTCCAGGACGCGTGGGTTGACCAGTTCGCCCCTGGAGGTCAGCGTGTGACCCACTGCACTTGCTCTCGGACGGGCCGCCACCTGGCCACGTTCATCCGTCGGCCAGGGACAAGTCTGTACACACTGACTACTGCGCCTCCTCCGGTCTCTGCGTCTAGTCAGGTAGCTGCGTGTAGTCAGGTGTTTGCTGCCGCATCCATGTCTAGTCCTGCGTCTGCCCCCTGCTCGTGTCGTCCTCTGTCGCACGAGACTCTCCTTTGGCACCACCGCCTTGGTCACCCCTCCCTGCCTCGTCTTCGAGGTATGGCCTCCCGTACCCTTGTCTCGGGTCTACCCTGGTACCTCCCTCCCCTCCCTCCGGGGCCTGCCCCTACCTGTGTTCCTTGTGTCGAGGGCCGGCAGCGCGCCGCTCCTCACTCCTCCACGTTCCCACCGACTGAGGCTCCTCTGCAGACTCTTCACATGGACGTGTGGGGCCCAGCCCGCGTCTGTGGACAGGGTCACGAGCGTTACTTCCTGCTGGTCGTTGACGACTACTCGCATTACACCACAGTCTTCCCCTTGCGCAGCAAGGGTGAGGTCCCTGAGGTGTTGATCGACTGGATCCGCGGTGCTCGTCGCCAGCTCAGCGAGAGTTTCGGCTCGGACCTTCCTGTTCTGCGTCTGCACTCCGACAGAGGTGGTGAGTTTTCCTCCGACCTCCTGAGGGCCTTCTGTCGTGCGGAGGGCATCCGCCAGACGTTCACGCTTCCGGCCTCTCCACAGCAAAATGTGATTGCTGAGCGCCGCATTGGCATGGTCATGGACGTCGCTCGTACGTCCATGATCCATGCGGCTGCTCCCCATATTCTATGGCCGTTCGCGGTTCAGTACGCTGCGCATCAGATCAACCTTCAGCCTCGTGTCTCCTTGCCGGAGACCACACCTACTCCGAGGTGGACGGGGAAGGTTGGCGATGCGTCCGCGTTCCGTGTCTGGGGATCTCGAGCTTTTGTCCGCGATACTTCAGCAGACAAGCTGTCCTCCCGTGGCGTTCCCTGTGTCTTCCTTGGCTTCCCTCCTGACGCACCCGGGTGGCAGTTCTACCACCCCACCTCGCGTCGTGTTCTGTCCTCTCAGGACGTCACATTTGATGAGTCGGTGTCTTACTACCGTCTCTTTCCCTACCGCACTGCCTCTCTCCCCCCCCCGCCGCTCTTCCTAGCACCAGGTACTCCCCCGGTAGACCCCCTCCCCCAACAGGGTCCTGCCCCCTCAGGTGTGTCCCAGGTAGACCCTGCCGAGCCGGTCGAGGTAGCTATCGACTCAGGTGCTGCTAGGGTTGCTGAGCCTGCGGGTACGGGGACTGGGGATGCGGGGCCTGAAGGTGCTGAGCCTGAGCGTGTGGAGCCTGGGGGTGCTGAGTCTGGGGGTGCTGAGTCTGGGCGTGCTGAGCCTGGGGGTGCTGAGCCTGGGCGTGTGGAGCCTGAGGGTACTGCGTCTGGAGGTGCTGAGCCTGCGCGTGCTGAGTCTGGAGGTCGTCGCGGTGGGAGCCCCTCTCTCCACAGCAGCTTCGTGAGTGGTACTCTCGGCGATGTCGAGGTGCTGCTGGTGCTGGAGCTGATGGAGCTGCTGGAGGTGCTGCTGGAGCTGCTGGAGGTGCTGCTGGTGCTGGAGCTGCTGGAGGTGCTACTGGTGCTGGAGGTGCTGCTGGTGCTGGTGCTGCTGGAGCTGCTGGAGGTGCTGCTGGAGCTGCTGGAGGTGCTGCTGGTGCTGGAGGTGCTGCTGGTGCTGGAGCTGCTGGAGCTGCTGGAGGTGCTGCTGGTGCTGGATCTGCTGGAGCTGCTGGAGGTGCTGCTGGGACTGGAGGTGCTGCTGGGACTGGAGACCCTGGGGCTGAGGGTACCGGTTCTGTCTCTGCTGTTTCTGGAGGCGCTGCGCGGCCGCGGCCGTACTACGTTCCACTCCTTCACCAGGTTCTTGGTTCCCCGCCTTCTCCTGGTCCTACTCCTCCTTTCCTGAGTCCACCGCCAGTCCAGTCCCAGTCGCAGTTACAGTCGGCCTCTCCACTGCCTGGTCCTTCTCCTTACTCTGGACCGACTAGAGGTCTTACGTAGCGTCGTGAGCCTGAGTCACGTTCTGCGTCGCCTGTCCGTACTGTTCGCGCTGGTCGTGTTTCGCGTCCTCCTATCCCTGGCACTCACTCTATGACTCTGCGTCCTTCCACTGCTCCCAAACTTGTCCCTCTGCCGTCTCCTCCTGCGTCCTCTCTTCCTGCTGGTCTGGACCCTGCGTCTGACTCCCTACGTGCTGCTAGTCCAGCAGTCAAGCGCTTTCTAGCCACTGCTGTCACTGACCCTTTGTTTGAGTCCACTGTTGCGTCTGCTCTTGTTACTGAGCTTGTTGACTTTGCTGCAGCCTGTCGCCTAGACTACGCCACTAGTCTTGTTGCTGAGTCTGCGTCTGCGTCTGTCTGTCCTCCGTCCGTCGGGGGTGAGTGTGCTCTTGGCACTGACGTTTTTTAGGACAGACAGGAGGAGTTTGAGTGCTTTGCCGCTACAGTACCTCATCTCGTGTCCATGCTGCTTGCCCCTGAGGGAGACCCGGATGCACCAGACATCCCGACCCCGCGCTCTTACGCAGAGGCGATAGAGGGTCCCTACTCCTCTTAGTGGCAGGCAGCCATGGACGCCGAGATGGCTTCCTGGAAGTCCACAGGCACCTACGTAGACGAGGTTCCCCCACCTGGGGCGAACATCGTCAGTGGCATGTGGATCTTCAGGGTGAAGCGGCCGCCGGGTTCTTCGCCTGCCTTCAAGGCGTGTTACGTTGCACGTGGCTTCAGACAGGGACAGGGAGTTGACTTCTTTCAGACCTTCTCCCCTACCCCGAAGATGACCACTCTTCGGGTACTGCTGCATGTTGCTGCTCAGCGTGACTACGAGCTCCACTCGCTTCACTTCAGCACAGCCTTCCTACAGGGCAGCCTGCACCAGGAGATCTGGCTGCGCCGCCCACCTGGCTTGACTGGGTCGTTTCCTGCTGGTACCCAGTGGAGCCTCCGGCAGCCAGTCTACAGTCTCCGCCAGGCACCCCGTGAGTGGCACGACACACTCAAGACGACTCTTGCTGCTCTTGGTTTTGCTCCTTCCACTTCTGACCCTTCTCTGTTTTTACGCACTGACACTACTCTGCCGTCGTTCTACGTTCTCGTGTACGTAGACGACCTCGTCTTTGCTACTGCTAACACTGAGGCACTCGCCCACGTGAAGTCCGAGCTGCAGAAGAGACACACGTGCATAGACCTGGGTGAGCTGACAAGCTATCTTGGCTTGCGGATCACCCGGGACAGAGCACAACGCACCATTACCTTGACTCAGTCACACATGGTGCAGCAGGTCCTTCAGCGCTTCGGCTTCACGTACTCCTCGCCACAGTCCACTCCTCTGCCTACCGGTCACTCGCTCTCAGCTCCACCTTCGGACGAGTCCGTAGAGCCGAGTGGCCCGTATCCAGAGCTTGTGCGCTGCCTCATGTACCTGATGACTTGCACACGACCTGACCTCGCATACCCTCTCAGCCTTCTGGCTCGCTACGTGGCTCCCGGTAGGCACCGAAAGGTGCACTGGGATGCTGCGAAGAGGGTGTTGCGATACTTGTGCAGTACATCGGGCATGGGGCTCGTGCTTGGAGGACGGGCTCGAGTTGTCCTCGCTGGTCACGCAGATGCCTCCTAGGTTGACGACTTGGCTACGCAGCGGTCGTCACAGGGTTACACCTTCAGTCTTGGCTCCGGTTCTGTCTCTTGGCGGTCTACCCGCTCTTCTTCTGTTCTCAGCTCCAGTTGTGAGGCTGAGATCTACGCTGGGGCCATGGCTGCACAGGAGCTTCGCTGGCTCACCTACCTGCTGACTGACCTGGGAGAGGCGCCTCGTTCTCCTCCAGTTCTGTATGTCGACAACAAGGCCATGCTTGCCTTGTGTCAGGAGCACAGATTGGAGCACAGAACGAAGCACATTGCTCTGCGCTACTTCCTTGCTCAAGAGTTACAGCAGCGTGGCCAGCTTCGCCTTGCTTACGTGGCCTCTCAGGCCAACACTGCTGATGTTTTCAACAAGGCACTTCAGCCTTGTGATCATCAGCGTTTCTGTACTGTGTTAGGTCTTGTACCTACTGTGCCTCACTTACTTACTTCTTGACTCTACTTGTATTGTACTCTTTATACATATACCTGCATGCTTACACTTGCTAGATTGTGTTCACTGTATTGCTTCTTTTCTTCTATATAACTCTGCATGTGAACTGGCCTTGTGGCCGTTTGCTTGTGCTCAGACTGCGTGGTGACTTTGTGATCCACCCTAAGCTTGCTTTCTTGACTGGTCTTGTGACCTCTTGTTCTCCCCACTTTGCCTATGGGGGTGTGTCAAACTTTTACATGCTATAGTCTCTTTAGGCTGTAGTGGGGTAGTTCTTATAGGGTACAACACTTTAAGGTTTCCTACTTGTACCCACCTGCTTTCTAGTTCAGTCATTCATTCGCTCACATTCTAACAATGCACGTACACCGACAACAAGCCGAATGCAAACCGTAGGGTTGCATCAACACCATTGTCGACACTTCTTGGCAAAGAGGGGAGAAAATTTCCGATGAATGTCGTCGCCAATGAGCTTCGAGAAGTCGAGCAGCCAGCAGACGAAACATCCAAAGAAGAGCGATCCGCAGAAGAGCGATCCGCATAAGAGCGATCGGTAGAAGAGCGATCTGCAGACGAGCTGCCTGCAGAAGATGTCAAAGAAGAGATACTTGCAGATGAAAAAATTCAGGTTTTTCGTTATGGTCGAAAGATTCAGAAGCCAATCCAGTTCCGCGAAGCACTAACTATGTTTACGATGACTTCGCCTGACGGCATGGATGAGGATGTAGTATAGAAAGAGCTCGACTCTGCTGACGAGTGCGTCATTGACATGGATCATCGTTGGGACAATTCGACCATGACTGTCGCAGAAGCTTTGCAGAGTTGGAAAGGTGCAGCAGTCAAAGCAGCAATGGATGCAGAGATGCAGACTCTCTATAACCAAGAGACTTGGGAGCTGGTACCACGTCCGCCTCGAGTTAACGTCATAAAAAATCGCTGGGATATGGCAACGAAATACAACCCAAACGATACGGTCGACCGAGAGAAGGGTCGACTTGTTGTTAAAGGATACAAATAGACTCCCGATGACTTCGACGATACATATGCTCCCGTCGGGAGCTATGGAACTTCCCGGATGCATATGTCGAACGCGGCCAATGGAAATCTAGAGCTGATGCAACTCGACATGACGAATGCATTTCTGAATGCGATGTCAGAAGAATGAACGAGAGAATGAATGAACTATGAAACAGTTGGGTACAAGTACTAACCCTAATTGGGTTATACCCCTTGTGGGCTACCCCACTATAGCCTACACAAATGTAAGCACCATAACATTCTGACACACCCCCATAGGCAAAGTGGGGGAGAACAAGTGGTCACAAGACCAGTCAAGAAAAGCAAAGCAAGCTCAGGGTGGATCACAAAGTCACCACACAGTCTGAGCATAAGCAAAGGGCCACAAGGCCAGTTCACATGCAGAGTTATATAAAAGAGAACGAACAATACAGTGATCATACCCTAGCAAGTATAAGCATGCAGGTATATATATAGATCAGAATACAAGCAAGTCAAGCAGTGAGCAAGTGAGGCAAAGTAGGCACAAGGCCTAACACAGTAGAGAAGCGCTGATGATCACCAGGCGGAAGTGCCTTGGTGAATATATCAGCAGTGTTGGCCCTAGTGGCCACGTACGCAAGACGAAGCTGGCCAGGCTGCTGCAACTCTCGAGCAAGGAAGTATCGCAGAGCGATGTGCTTCATTCTGTGCTCCAGTCTGTGCTCCCGACACAAGGCAATCATGGCCTTGTTGTCTACGTACAGAACTAGAGGCGAACGAGGCTGCTCTCCCAAGTCAGTCAGCAGGTAGGTGAGCCAGCGTAGCTCCTGTACAGCCATGGCCCCTGCGTAGATCTCAGCCTCACAACTGGAAATGAGAACCGAAGACGAGCGAGTAGACCGCCAGGAAACAGAGCCGGAACCAAGGCTGAAGGTGTAACCCTGTGACGACCGCTGCGTAGCTGAGTCGTCAACCCAAGAAGCGTCTGTGTGACCAGTGAGGACAACTAGATGTCAAACTTATATGCTATAGTCTGTTTAGGCTGTAGTGGGGTAGTTCTTACAGGGTACAACACTTTTAGGTTTCCTATATGTACCCACCCGCTTTCTAGTTCATTCATTCGTTCATGATTCTAACATGGTATTCTGAGCAGGTTCCCTAGTGGGAACGTTTTTTAGGGCCCACCATGATTTTTTTTCCTGCCCTGCCCGAAGCGTGCCTCGCGCCTGTTTCACCTGCGGCGTCGCGCGCCCTGCCCTTGTGCCGCCTATCGCAGCCCTGCCTTAGAGGCCCGTCGCGGCCCTGCCTTAGAGGCCCGTCGCGGCCCTACCCTAGTGCCGCCCGTCGCGGCCCTGCCTTAGAGGCCCGTCGCGGCCCTGCCTTAGAGGCCCGTCGTGGCCCTGCCTTAGAGGCCCGTCGCAGCCCTACCCTAGTGCCGCCCGTCGCGGCCCTGCCTTAGAGGCCCGTCAAGGCCCAGCCTTTGGGGCCCGTCACGGCCCCTCACTGCCCGTCGCGGCCCTTAGCCGCCCGTCGCTGACCCTAAGCCGCCCGTCTCGGCCCGTCCAGACCCGTCGCCGGCCTGTCCCGGCTCGTTGCCGCCTCGTCGCCGGCCCGTCGTCGCCCGTCGCTGGCCTGTCGCCGCCCGTCGCTGGCCCGTCACTCGCCCGTTGCGGCCCTGCCTGTAGCCGCCCGTCGCTGGCCCTGCCTGCAGCCACCCTTTCGCGGCCCTGCCTTCGCCGCCCGTTGCGGCCCTGCCCTGCAGCCGCCCGCTGCGGCCCTGCCTGCACCCGCCCCTGGTAAGCACCCGCGCCGCCTTGCTACGCCGCGCCGCCAGGAGCTGAGCCGCGCCGCCCAGCCGAGCTGCGCCGCCCAGCCGAGCCGCGCCGCCCAGCCGAACCGCGCCGCTCTGCCAAGCCGCGCCGCCCAGCCGAGCCGCGCCGCCCTACTGAGCTGCACTGCCCTGCCTTCTTTGCTGCCTCTGCTGCTACTGCTGCTACTGCTGCTACTGCTGCCTCTGCTTCTACTGCTCCTACTGCTGCTATGGCTAGCCCTAGTGTTCTCACCTTTGATGCTGAGGGGCGTGCAGTTGACTTTGACGTGTGGGTTGACGACCTGCAGCTCTTTCTTCAGTGTGATTCTAGGGATGGGGTATACCTTTTCGATCACACGTCCGGTGTTTCTACTGCTCCTGCTGCCACTGGTGACAGTACGGTTCGCTCGCAGTGGACCACTCGTGACGCTGTTGCTCGTCTTGCTGTTCGTAGTCACCTGCCGCCTGCTGAGCGCGCGCATTTTGGCCAGTACAAGACTGCTCAGTCTTTGTACGACGCTGTAGTTGCGCGCTACTCCTCCCCTGCCACTGCTGCCCTCAGCCGCCTCATGCTGCCGTACCTTTTCCCCGACCTTGCCGCCTTTGCCACAGTCGCTGACCTAGTTGCTCACCTCCGCACTAGTGACGCCCGCTACCGCGCTGCCCTTCCCACTGAGTTCTGTGCCAAGAACCCCCCCCCCATGTACATCACCCTTTACTACCTAGTCACCCGCCTCCCTGACTCCCTTTCTTCAGTCAGGGACCACTTTCTCTCCCTTTGCCCCACCGAGCTGACTGTCGATCTGCTAGAGGAGCGCCTTGCTGCAGCTGAGAAGAGTATCTTAGCTGTAGGTGCTTCTCGCGGCGACCGTCGCACCCCTTTCTTTGAGGGGTGTTCCCCTCTCCCCCTTCTCCCCTCTGTTGCTTCTGCTGCTGCTCTCGACCTCGTTGGCACTGAGGAGGTCGGAGCTGCGTCTGCCCCTAGTAGGAGACGCCGCAACAGCAAGGGCAAGGGGAGCAAGGGTGGTGGAGGGGGCGGCGGGGGAGGCGGTGGAGGAGGTGGAGGAGGCGGAGGGGGTGGCGGTGGAGGTGGGGGTGGTACCGGGAGTGGGGGCTTCAGTGGCGGCAGTGGAGGTGGTGGAGGCAGCAGCGGATGTGGTGGAGGCAGCGGCAGCGGTGGTGGAGGTGGCGGCGGCGGTGGTGCTGGTCGAGGTGCAGCCGTGCAGCGTGGAGGCTTTGGTGGTAGCCAGCGCCAGCAGCAGCCGCGCTCCCGTGAGATTCCGTCGGCCCAGCAGCTTCGTGAGTGGTACGCTGGGCATGGGAGGTCTGGGGGTGCTGGTCCCTGCACTTACGTTCTTCGCACCGGCAGTCGTCGTGGGGAGGCGTGTGGGCTGCCACACACTACGCAGCGCTGCTTCGGTCGCTTGACTGACGCTTGGCGTGCCCAGTTTCCTGACGCTGTTCAGCTCCCTCGCTGGCATGATATGCTTCTGCAGAATGTGCCTATCTTTGATCTTGATTTTGATGCTATCCTTGCTGCCATGTATGCTTTGTCTGATAGTGCTGAGGGTGACTATTACCTGAGTGTCCCGCCCGACCCGGGCATAGCGGCTGCTGCTCTAGGTGCTAGTGCGTCTGCTGCTCCAGGTACTGGTGAGTCTGCTGCTCCAGGTGCTGGTGAGTCTGCTCTCTCTGGTACTGCACCTACTGAGGCCTTGCACACTTTCACACT